ACGAGACGTACACCAAGTTTAATAAATTCTTTTTACAATTATAGAAACAAAACATTTACGAGATGTACACCAAGTTTAATAAATTCTTTTTACAATTATAGAAACAAACAAGCATACCTATGGATCTTCACAAACTTTTTCATAAACTCTTTTCAGAAAATATCGGATTTTCTGGTAGTTTCAAAACAATACAAAACATTGGCTTTCAAACACCGCTTATGAACTCACCAACATTTCATATGTTGACGTTTTTCAAAATACTTGTATTCTCAGGTAACAGGTAAACCAAGGGGAAAAATGTACTCAGTGATGGCTTGCAGTTTGTTTATCTATTATCGAACAATTTCTTTTTGGGAATGTAATGTTAAAACAATGTACTAAGTGTAAACCTTACCAGTTGTACTATCTCAATGCATGGTGATGTATGATGTTATGTTTCATATATATTCAATGTTATGGTATTCAACTGAGTCACGACAACCCTCGGACGTTTCCGCCGTCTGGTTCGGGGGTGTGACACTAGAAAAGGAGTGAGAGTGGGCTGGGTCCGTATCTCACTACCAGTAGGAGCGTGGACGGGGTTCGATGACTCATCAGTAGCAGGACAAGGGCGAGGCCTTAGGACAAGATCAGTCGTATGAGTTTAGCTTATGTGTTGTGACATGTTTATGTGATATTATTTGTTGGCGGGCGGGGCCCTGTGACAGGCGAGGCCTAAGTAAAACAGATATGTATCCGAGCGGGGCTCGAAGCCAGGCGGGGCCTGGAGCGGCGGGGCCGTTGTAGCGGGCGAGGCCCGAGGTAGGGGGCGAGGCCCAAGATAACAGGCATGGCCCAGTATATGCAGTATGTGGTTATGTATGGTATGTGGTAGGGTGGGGAACTCATTAAGCTTCGTGCTTACGGTTTTTAGTTTTGGTTTCAGGTACTTCCGGTAGCGGAGGGAAGAGCTCGGGGTGATCGCATGGCACACACCATAGATTAGACAACCTGGGAATGTTTACTCTGATAATGAACATGTGTTTTGAAACATATAGTCAGATTATGTTTTCGAATGATGAATTAGCTTAAAGCAATGTTTTATTAAAAGAAATTTTTGGTCTTAAATTTTGGGTCGTTACAGTAGTCGTAACATTCACTAGCGATCAGATAGTATGGAGAGTGTTGTAAGACTGGTGGTGTAGCTGTAGCATTCATTAGCGGTCAGGTAGCATGGGAAGTGTTGTAACTATGTGGGTGTAGCCGTAGCATTCACAAGGGTTGGCAATTAGTGTTAGAGTGTTGTACGTCTGCGGGTGTAGTCGTAGCATTCACTAGGTTGGTAGATATCATGAGCGCGTTGTTAGGACGCGAAAGGAACATGAGTACCCGCTAGTTCGGGTGTAGCAGTGAGGATATAGAAATCCATGGATTGGATTATGGAATTACCCAAATGGATTAGATCTAGTGGAGCCATTGATAAAGACTGTAGGGACGCCACTACAGTTATGAGATCAGGGAAGCAATGTATTGCTTAGGTTTGTGTATGATATAAGGCTACCATTAGTCATGTAGCCATCACTCTTAGCCTTGGGTTTGGAGACGTCAAGATTCGATGCATGGACCCGATCAATTGGATCAGGAGGTTGTTAGAGCCATAGTGGTAAGATAACTAATGTCAACTATTGATAGAAAAGGATTTCGTGTGGAGCGACTGCGTGTGGGTCCTTTGGCTTCGCAGTCGGGCCGGAACCCGATATTTTAGATGGTTGGCAAACGAATTGAGACCAGGAAGGTCTCGGTAGATTCTAGAATGCTTCAGGCAGTTCAGTGTTCGGACAGTTTTAGCGTTTGCGCAGTGTTAGTATTTATGTTTTAGGTTGCAAATACGGACAAAATAGCTGGTTGATTAGGAAGTGACAAGTCACTCACAACGGGATCAGTTGAGCCCTGACCAGGTATAAGTGATATGGAGGGATAATTAGGTCTATAATCCTGTTTTATAGTGGGAACCTCAAGCTATCAGAAGTTGAGTAGTTAGTTGAGGGATAAACGGACTGGGTTCAACGATAATGATTCAGTATGAGTGGTTTGTCAGGGATTCAGACCATCTCGAGAAAACATATTTCGGACAGAGTACATGTGATCTTGTTGCGAGGAATTTGTTCAACTGCGGATTTTAGGGCTTTACGAAGATTGGTCACAGTTACCCTAGGAAGGCTAGGGTGTGCCCAATATGGTGACCATGTTACTAGAGTGGTTGGGCATGTAAGGAATGATAAGGAATGATTTCGAGGATGAAATCTAATTTAAGTAGGGGAGAGTTGTAACACTCTGTTTATTTAATAAATAAATAGACGAATTAATAAATGAATAATAGCCCTAAAAGCGGAATAGTGTAGCAAGGAGTTAGTTTTGGGGGTTAAAAAGTTATAATTGAAAGTTTAGGGGGGTTAAAATGTAATTTCCGAATTTGTTTGTAAAGTATTTTGAAGGTTGAGGGCAGTGGCGAGTCTAGAACAACAACCTACGTGGGTCACTATTTAAGTGATCCCGATAGAAATGACATGGCTAAAAAAATACTAGTAATGGGTTGATTCATATAAGCAATTTTTTTAAAGATATTACAATTGTATCCGAAAAGGTCTGATATCTTGATATATATCCACAATCATATCATTACTAATACTATCTAAAACACTTTTTCAATATATGGCACTAAACTATCCACTAAGTTGGGAAACAAAAACCATCAAATAAAACTATATTGATTTCACGATAGATTGAATCAAAGGCAATATGTATTAAAACATACCACATGAAGTGATGAAACCTACCATACAAAACCTATTGTGCAGAAGTCAAAATAGATGTTGTTATCAATGGCGCCAAGATTAGAGATTACGTATTAAATTGATTATATCTTGAACTTTTGATTTAATTATATTTATTCGTAACTATGAAGAAGATTAGAAGAAGTGTAAACCCGTTGAATACAATCATTATCAATCACAAGTTCACAATTGAGAACCTTCAAAGTTAAAATTCGACATGAAGAAGAAATCAATGCGGATTGTAGGTCGGGACTAATGTGAATGTGAGGTTGTCAGCAGCCGGAGGGAGGCAAACATATGGCCTGAACGAGTGATCGATAGGAGTGACTTTTGTTGGTTCCTTACGATTTGTGTGATTGCATCATGCATATTTACTAGAAACGAACGACCAATTCATATTCAGTTTGTATATTTTTTCTTTATTTAATTTTAAAAGGTATTGGGTTACTTTTTGATGGACAATATTTGAAATAAACTAAAATTAAACAATTCATATACAGAAGATGGCTAAAAGTCCATGACAAATAAATTAAGGTGGGCCATCTACAAATTTTAAGGTAGGTTATAATTTTTTTATTAATTACTTGTAATATAATTTTTTTCTTTAGGTGGGTCATTAAAGGGATGTTTAGTAAATTATGGGATGTTTAGTAAATTATGAGCTTATTATGAAGGGATTTTTGAAGTCAGAGACTGTTTGGTAAATATTAGATTAAAGGTGAAAATATTTTATGGGGCCAGGGGATAAAGAGTAAGTTTTGGGCTTGATTTGAAAAGAATTTCAGAGGGCAGGGTTAAAAAGGTAAAATATGGGCTGAGTTGAAAGAAAAAGGGAAAGGAGGGGCCGAAGGTGGCATTATGGGATAAGTTTGATAGAGTGGTCGGGTATATATTCTACCAAGTAACCCTAACCCTAGCTGTGAGTCCAGCCACCACCTCCACTCTCGAGATTTCCAGCGCCACACCACCACCTCCGTTGAGGTCATCACCGCCGCCGTTAAGGCCGAAGACCACTAGAAGCGTCGTCGTCGTCTCACTGCCAACGAAGAGGGGGAGTCGTTTTCCCGACATGATGTTCAGAGCGTTGGGTTGCGTTCGCTGTGGCTGATGTTGTTCCTTCTTCCGTTTCTCCCGTCGCAACATGGTAGTTCGCGACCGCCGACGCCATCACCAAGTGTTCGTCACGATCGGGCTGCATCCGACCATCTCTTGCCATCAGAAAAGAAGGCCGACACCGGTACAAACTCAATCACATAAGCTCCATTGTAACGCTACTGTTCCGCCGTTCTTCGAGCATGTTCGTGTGGCCGTGTTGGAAGGCTGGGAAAGGTTAATATTGGTGTTGGAAAAATGTTGTTTGTTGGATAGGGGAACCGGTTTTGCTTCCTTGTCTCCCATTCATCGTTTGCGTTCGTTATCCGGAGCATGAGGCTCAACTAGCACGACCGAAGACGAGATACGGGGGTGGTGTGCAAGGACCACTTTCATGGCCATGTAGACCACAAACCGGATCGTGACGATGGTCTAACACCAACTTGAAAGAAATCCACCAATTAGAGTAGTCTTAGAAAACTTGTTAAGTCTGTTGTCCTTTGTATCCACAATCTAAGTGAAATGCCACATTCAAGCAACGTAAGCATCACATACTTAGTGTAAAAACATAAATGCCTCTTTTCATCCTAATCATTAAAAATAACCCTCCTAATCATTAAAAATAACCCTAAAAAGTAATTTATTTTGTTGTCCTTGTAACCAAACCAAGTTCAGACATGTAAAACGTAAATCTCGCTTTCATCATTATCATTGAAAACAGTCTCATAAAGTGAAGTCCCGAAGTCTAACAACATACACACATAGTTCAAAGTAAAGACATAAATACCCCATTCATCTTTATCATCGAAAATAGCTTCAGAAAACTTGTTCAAACCATCATCCTTGGTAACAAAAGCAATTTGAATGAAGTCTCAAGTTCAAACAACATGAACATCACTTTTATCACTACGAGGATATTGTAATCATACCATGCATATCAAGATAACTTAATGCAAATACACAAGCATCATACCAAGAATTTAAGATAACTTTATCATCATGATATCATAAAAAAAAGTAGCAAACAACAAATTCATACAAACCAAGCTTCCCTCCCTCTTGGAATTGTGGAATTCCGGCCATTTTACCTTTTTATTAAACATCCACAAAAACCAAGAGACTCGGGGCATCATCATCATCATAATCATAACACTTGAAATCCACAAGTCTACATCAATCAATAAAACCAAAAACCAAAACCATTGGTCAAACTGGTCAAGAAAACAGTTTGGTTGTTGTATTTTTGAAAGATATCTTTTACATGAAATCCTCTTCGAGTTCTTGTAAGGACTTGTGGGTTGATGCAATCTCTTTATTGGAAGTCATTTTGTCAGCCACCATTAGATTTTTGTAGCTCCTCACCTCCGCTTGTCTCTCCTTTTCAAGCCTTTCCATCTCCTCTCTCCTTTTCTGTACAAATATCAAAGAAAAGCACTTGTACTTTCACCACTTTATCATTTAAGTGTCTAAATCGATAAAACAGTGAAAGTTCAAGGGGTTTTATGTAAAATATAATTCCACATGTTATTAATATACTCACTTTGTCTCTCAGCTGCTGCTTCCTCTCTGCCCTTTCTGCAGCATTAACTGCTTCACGCTCAGCTACAAATAGACAACATGAAAATTAACTCATGACAACATAAATGATTAAATTATAATGATAATAACAATATTTTTAAGTACACCTTTTACTATTCATTTTACTAAAACCAACATATTTTTTAATATTGATTATCTTGATAAAATTTCTGTTAAAATAACTGAATGAGAAATGAGGAGTTGAAGTACATTGATGTTTTAAGTACCTTTCAGATCAGGTTTTCTTTCCACTTTTGTCCTGTTCAGTCTATTAACTACCTCATTTATTCGCTTCTCCACCCTCACAGTGCGCACCTAAACACACACACACAAAAAAAAGAAAAAAAAGTTTCTATTTTTAGTAACTTTGATGTGTTTTTTTTAATATTAGAAAGAAAAATAGAAGTGAAGTGACTCACAGCTTTATTGTTGTGGAAGCCAACTTGACCTACATCCATGGATGGAGTCTTCTTTAAGTTTTGCCAAGGTGTATAAACAACATCAATGTTGTTCACTTTATTTCCTGTCAAATGATTTGAAAAAAAATATGTAAAGAAAATAAAGGGTGAAATGGGTAATAATTAAAATGTTTGATTGTTATATGAGAATGGACTTGCCTTGGATGGAATTTGCTTTGACAAGTTGAACACAATCTTCAAGAAGTCCTTCAGAAATGTCATCAATTGTTTGACCTTTACGCATCCTTAGATAAACATGGGCAGAAGACATTTTGTCCACATGGAACCTGAGGTAGAAAAAACCCTGTATGATAAACTAGATATAAGGTGAAAATAATTAATCCAAAAAAAGAAATTTCTAGTTTTTGTGAAAGCCTTAAAGGAAAATCTCATTTCCCTAGTTTCCTTTATTAAGTCGTTCTTTCTGCATTGAGTCAAAAAGAAATGAGCATCTCAGTTTCATTATTATCATAACTACATACACTTTCGGAAAAGAACAACAGAAAGATGTAGGTATGTTAGCAAATTAAATCTTGATTCTATTGTGTTGTGCTAAAGAATATAAAAGAAGAGAAGATTGTAAGATAAAAGAGATTACAACAATCTGAAACTGTAAGACATTCATATGACTTAACATCTTTTGATATTCAATTTACTAAATAAAAATAAATTTACCTTTTTAACAAAGAAAGAAACATTACCATTTTCATTAAACTAAATTATGTGATGTAACAAAGAAATAAACTTTACTGACTTCATTCAACTCTGTGAGGTGTGGATTGAGGATGTGTTAGTAATCATTTACAAACCCGACCATATTAGAAATTAGATTTGAGTCTAAGAAGCTTGCTAATTATTGCAATTTGGGTAATGTAAGAGCACAATTTCACAATCCCCCTTTTCAACAATACTATTACCTTTACAAAAGCTAAAGAAACAGTAAATTTGATCGACATGCGTGTCCATACCGATTGAAATGGACAATTCAGTACACATAGAAGCAATCGGATCAAGAACATTAATGAACAATCATCCAGTTTACATAAGCGTAGACCCTCATCCACAGATACTGATTCCTTAACGTTTTAGATTTTGTGAATTACGAAGTTAATGAAGAGATAGAGAGGGGGAGGGTGTATACCATATATCTTCCGGAAACCCGTATTTGATGAGTTCTTCGTTCTCGAATTTGTCAAGACCCATGAAGATGGTGTAGTCTCCGGCTTCTGGTCGGGCTTTGAAGTAGAACACCATCTTCGCTCTCTCGGCTCTCCACAAAGGAGACTCTTTTCTCTTTTCCTCTTTCTAGGGTTTGCGTTTGGGAAAAGAGGAGAGACGATGACTCCTTATTGCTTTATTTTGTCGATCAAAATTGAAAAGAATCAAAACGCGTAGTTCACGGCCTTTGCTTTATATTATGGATGGGAATGTTCGGATTCAAAACAACGGGTCGGATACACATTCAAACTTTCAAACACTAATTTACTTAAATTATCCTAGTTTGATTATTATTATTATTATTATTATTATTATTTTCATTTGGATACATATGGTTTATATTTTTTGTTTCGTACTGACATGAAAAGATTAAATTATCTTTTATATTTCTTTTTTAGCATTTTATTATTTGTTTATTATTTATTAAATTTAAAAAAATTAAATGATTTATACATGGAACGAACTCACTCTCATTCTCACCCACCACCACTAACACCAGTCACCGACAACCACAATACCACCAAACACTAACGACCACCACCCCATGAGTCACCAACAACCACCACCCCACCTGTCACCGTAACATTCTAGAATAATCTTTAGGAAAATCTAAATCAAATTCACCAAACACACTTACTTGAAAAACCTGGAATCAAATCCACTAAAATTTAGTATTAATCACCACCACATCTACCATCGACAATCATTAATCACCATTACCAACAATCGAACCTAATGATGCTTAAACATTAACAAAAAAAAACCCACATCTAGAGAGAGAGAGAGAGAGATATGGGAGGGAGAGATGGAGGAAAAAGCAAATATGCTTCAAAGAGACTATCAGTTTTCAGTGGCTCTTTAAGCTCCATTTTTCAAACAAGCAAATGTAGAAAGGGTAGAAACGAGGAAGATGAGAGATTTGGTATATGATTTATTTGAATCATAAGTTTACATATGGGTTCTTCAGCTCCTAATATGCATTTTTTGAAGCCAATAAGATCATTAGAGGAAGATAGTGTACATATGCCCTAAGGAGATAACAGGTTGTTTTTTGAAGTAGATGGTGTCGAGAGAGACTATAGGAAAAAGAAATAGTTAAAAGAGGTATGCAGGTGGATGTAGTGGTAATGTTGCGATAAAGTCGGCGATAATTGTGACTATGGTTGCATCTCTCGTGTTAGAAAGAAAAAGATTGATCGATGGTCTTTTTGGAAGAGAGAAGTGAAAGAGAATAAAGAAGATTATTAGATGCGGAGTGGGCCAAGACATTTAATATTTATATAAAAAATAACATTAATAAATATAGTAGTTTAAAAAAAAATAGTAAGGCTAAAATAGTCTTTTTACATGTGATGGGGACGAAAAATGCAACGAAATCTACAATAAGGATGGTCCGAGTGAAAAAAAATATTAGGGACCAAATCTTGGAAGATGGTACCCATAGTCACAACAAATCGGTAATATTATTACAAATAGCAGTATCTTTTGTATTACATGCAAGAAAAAATATTAATAGAACTGGAAAAAAATTTAAATTATAAGGATCAATTTGTTAATTAGTTAATTAAACGAAACGTGGAGTTCTGGAATGTTCCAAATAAAAGGATTTGAATATCAGATAATTACCAAAGTTAAAAATAATTATATTGAGCCATGAAATTTATATTTTAGGGTTTGAATCATTTCCCTATAAATAAAGAGACGTGTAGATCTTCTTACACATTAGAAAAATCAATCAAAACCCTAGGAAATTCTATGGTGCTCTTGAGATCAAGAAAAACGCAGCTTCACACAGCGTGTAACTCGACTTATGTGCCGCGTAGCCGTGTTCCATATTCAAAGTGTTCTAATTTTTTGAGAGCTTTCTGTTTTGGTGTTTTTCGGTTTGTTGTTTGCTTCTTGGGTGCAATCACGAAAGAGGAATTTTCTGTTGGATCCTTGTAACGCCTGGTTCCTGGTACACATTTAATTATAATTTATTCACTTTTGTAGAGCTACTCGACGAGTTGGGAGCCCCAGACTCGTCGAGTAGAAACGAGATTGGTCGCGGGATTTTAAGTCGCCTACTCGACGAGTTAAGAAGCCTTGACTTGACGAGTATGGTTGTCAGGATGAAACCTAATTTTGGAGTTTTGCACCCTATTTAAGCATCCTAATCCCCACTTGTCGGCCTCATTTCCAGCCTCCAAGTCCCAAGCCCTAATCCACAAAACCCTATAGCATGTTGTGAGTTTATGAGCCATTTTTTAGTGAACTTTGTGTACTTGAAGCTTGTGAAGAAGAGGAGAGGCTTGAGGATTCAGAAGGAAGCTAGTAGATCCAGAAACAACATCTCATCCTCTTCATTTTCTAGCAAGCAAGCCTCAACCTTGCTTAGTAGCTTGTTACATCTCCTTCTTATCATTTCCTGGGGTTTTTGGTCCAAGAAGCTTAGTCCTTGGGATATGGACGTCGAAAGTGATATACCTTTCATATCTGGGGTCTAGAAAGGGTTTCATTGCATAAAGGTACAAACTTTATGACCATGGAAGCCCATGCAAGCTTTAAGGTGTTATTATGGCCTTTTAAGCCCCAAAAGGTCATGCATGGAAGGAAAGTTAGGAGGTTTATGTGTTCAAATGATGTCTAAGGCCTAGATCTATGTTAGTATGCTTTAGTTTGGAGTATTATGGCTTTTGGACCAAGATCTATGTCCTAGAGAACTAGGGTTTTAGCTAAAGGGAATTTCCAGTATGTGGATAAAGTATGGAGTTTGGATCTGAAGAGCAGGGGGTTAACCCTTTAAGAATGCCCAAACAGACTGAGGAAATCAGCGAGTCCAAAGAGGGACTCGACGACTTGAGTCGTTTTGTCCCGATTTTGTACAAGGTAGGACTCGGCGAGTTTGCGAAGGGACTCGATGAGTTGATTCGCCAAATCGTGACTATGAGTAGCCAGGGAACTCGGTGAGTCAGGGGGTGACTCGACGAGTTAGATAGCGATTTCAAGGTTTTTGATTTATGGAACTCGACGAGTTGGGTTAACCCAAAATGTTGACTTTGACTTGGAGTAAAATGGTCATTTTACCCTAAAAAGGATTATCAGATTTTGACTAAGTGTTATTGTGATAATGATAGCCGAGGTGTCATTAGAGCAGCCTTTAGAGATTCCTCACGCGAGATTTCATAGTTAGCTTACGAGGTGAGTTTTCCTATAGTAGGAACGGGTCGAAGGCACCAAGGCCTACCCGTTTATGTATGATAGTATGTTCCGGATTAAGGTCTAATGTAGGACGGGGCCCGATGTAGGTTTATATGTTTTTCTGGATTTCGATCCGATGTCGGGATGGTACCCGAAGAATGTAAGTATGCTTGATGTCTTTGTGATTCTTGCATGTGTATGTTTTCGGACTACGGTCCGATGTTGGGGCGGTTCCCGAGGAATGTTTGTATGTTTCTGGATTTCGGTCCGATGCCGGGTAGGGCCTGAGGAATGTGTATATGTTTATAGTTAAGTGGTTATGCTTATGTTATATATATATATATATATATATATATATATATATATATATATTAATAGTTATGCTTATATGTATGCCAAGTTTGCTCGATGTCGGGCGGGGCCCAATGTATGTTATATGCGATTATGTGATTATGTGTATGGTATGTGGTAGTTTGGAGAGACTCTCTATGCTTAATGCTTACAATTTTCAATTTTGGTTTCAGATACATCTGCTGGTAAGGGGAAGAGCTCGGGACAACTGCATGGCACACACCACAACATTTTAGCCTGTGAGGATTTACTCTTATATTTTGATATATGACTTGGATACAATGTTTTGACATGATATTTTGAGATATTACCACTTATGTTTTCATGTGATGATTGGATTTCTATGATTTTATAATGATTTAAAACGAAATTTTTGGACTATATTTTTGGGGTGTTTCAAGTTGGTATCAGAGCCTTGGTTTGAGGGATCCTGACACACTCTCAGGTGTGTCTGAACTCAAACTAAGGGCTTTGTATGAAAGTTTTTCAAAAGAAAATCATTTTTATAAAAAAAAATTCAAAAGGAGAAAAAGAATTTTGAAAAGAGAAAAAGGGTGTGGTGCATGCAATCAGACGAGCTCAAGTAAGTACTCCCAAATTACCCATACAAGTTTATGTTATGATATGTTTATGAGAATTGCATGCTAGATTAGGGCTAAGGATCTAGGAAAGATGCCTTATGTGCCTGTTATATGTATATCAGCTTTATGAAGCCCATGTAAAATTAGGGTTTTCACATAAAATGACAATTAGGGTTAAGTGTTTCTTACTTGTCCATTAAGGACTAAATCCATTAAGTTCATCACTCTACTAGGTCAACTTACAATGTGGTCAGGATTAATTCATGATTCCAATCCAATGGTCCAAACTTGCGATTCCCGAAAATTCCAAATTAACATATACAAAATTAGGGTTTCCTAATCCAGTCATATCCTAATTAGTCTATTTGTTAAACTTTTAGGTTAATTAACTGTTAATTAAGTCGGGCACCACCCACTACTACCATGGGCAATGGTGGTCAATGGCGGCTAACGGTGGCGACCACCACCTTACGGTGATGGTTATGGTTCTAGTCCAATTATCTCCAAACATCCCAAAAGCAGTCTAAACACAAGCAAAAGCACACTGCCACCCAACACGATCTCTGGTGGTGGTAGAAGGCGGCAGCCACCACCTCACGGTGGTGGTTATGAGTTTTTGGATTATACTAGTCACTAATTACAATTTTACAATGCTTTAACCCAAAGTAACACACATACAACAAGGTAAACACACACAACCACCCTTGTGGTGGCCGACGGTGGTACATAGCGGCAGTCACCACCTCACGGTAGTGACGGTGGCTTTTCAGGGAATTCCAGCAAATAAGGAACCCCAACACCACTCCACTAAAGTGTTGGGTTTTGAGCAATCTAACACTTCCTAAGTGTGCATGCAACCCTAATAAACCTTGGATCTATGTTTGTCTAAATACATGCAAAATAATAATTTTTCCAAGGTTCATAACCTATCTAACATTGCATGGGGTACTTTTAAACATAAAAGAATTAGATGAGATTACATACCTTTTGATGATGAGTTTGATTCCTAAGGAGTTTGAGGGCCAAGCACCAATAGTTTGAATGCC